ATGCCAGTGGGAGCAGACCAAAAGCGCACACACACACACACACACACACACACAGAAAAGATCTGCTCTCTCTAGCCAAAAGACCAGGAGAGAGGCAACCTGACAAGACCGAAAACTTATAGAAAATACTTCATTAATCCAGCCAACACCATGGAGAACACCGTGGCCCTTCTGCCATGTTGGTCAGCAGAGGCTGAGTGGGGGAGCCTGGGCCACCACCCTCAACAGACTATAACAAGACACCTCTCCTAGCACCCCCGCCACCCCCATCTCCTGCCGGGGTGGTAGCAGACAAGACCCGGGGGGCAACCAAGACTTATATTCCAACCAAGAGGTAACAACCCCCCCTCACACACATACACACAGGAAGAACGGGGACCACATGGGAATCCTGGACTTCACCAGCCGCCCGCCTCTGTCAGAGGAGGCTGAGTGGGAAGCTGGAACTTTCACTATCATCCAGTGAGCAAAAAAGGCCTCCAGCCCACATCACAGAGAGGCCACATGGGTAGGAGTATCAGGGCGCCCTTCCCCCTCCCACCTAGGAAGCCTAGTGGGGAACCTGAAATCCTGCCTTGGACCAGCAGTAATGATGAATGCCTTCCCCTGCCCAGGGTGTCCAAGGACGCTGAGTGGGGAGCCAGGACCTTTATCCCCACCTGGCTGTAGCAAGGAAACACTCCCTTCCTCCATGGCACGATGTCAGAGAGGGCCTGCTGGAACGGGAGATTTCAGTAATACCCACAGTCTTATGATGTAATACCAGAATGTCCAGGATACAATACAAAATCATGCATCATACCAAGAACCCAGAGAAGCTCAACTTGAATGAGTTAAAGATACCCAGCAGATGCCAACCCTGGGATGACCTAGACATTGGGATTTTCCAACAAGGATTTTAAGGAGCGGCGTAAAAATGCCTCGACGAGCAATTACAAATGGGCTTAAAACAAATGAAACCATAGAAAGTCTCCACGAAGAGATAGAAGATACATAGAACGACTAAATGGGAACTTTAGCACTGAAACAAAATACAATGAAATTTTAAAACTCAGAGGGTGGGCTGAATAGCAGGCCCAGATGGCGTTACTGGCCTATCGGTCAAGGTTCAACCAAAGAAACAGAACCACTAAGGGATTTATTTTTTGCAGGTGGGGAACCAGTTAAATAGTCTATGTAAGGCTGTCGCTTCCGTGCCTAATTCTGGAACCTGAAGTTAATCAGTGTAGGCAGTCAGGAAGGGAAGACGTGGAAAGAAGAGAGCAAAAAATACAGTAGAACCTACAAGGCTGAGCCAGAACTCAATACCGATAGACCGATACCCATGTTGGTCTCTTACTGCCTCCAAGCCTCCAACTTTAACAGCTGGGAGGGCTCTGCCTCTCATCACGGAGTTGAACAACATGAACGACCCTTGAAAACATTATGCTAAGCAAAGGAAACTGGACACAAGAGGCTGGGTATTGTATGATTCCATTTATATGAAATGTCCAGAATGAGCAAATGCAGAGAAACAGAACGTAGACTAGGTCCAGGGGATGGAGGGAAGGGGGAGTAATTAGAGCAGTAGAGTGTTCTGGAATGGGATAGTGGTGATGGTTGCACATTGTGAATATACTAAAACCACTGAATTGCGTACTTTAAAGTGGTAAATTTTATGGCATGTGTGTTACATCTAAAAAAAAAAAA